GACTAAAGAGCCGTGGACGAGAGACTAAAGAGCCGTGGACGAGAGACTAAAGAGCCGCAGACGAGGGCCTAAAGAGCCACGTGGCCCCCGAGCCACAGCTTGCAGGCCCGTGTTAGGGGCAACTTAAAAGCTGGATTTAATTAAGATGAAATAAACAGAATTCAGCTCAGGACGTAAAAATGAGGTTGTCAGTTTGTATTGTTTAAAATAGGTCAAATCTGAACATCTATAAAAGAATTTACAAGTTATTATAGTATACTATGCAGTCAAGAGCAACCCCACCCCTGACCAAAACCTGTGGACTTTTATCTGTAGAAACAAAAGCCCATAAAACCAAGCAATAAAAACACTTTAAAAAGTCTATATTAACAAGATGTAACATATATTAACGGTTATAATCCCAGTTTAGGACATGATGTATAAAAATATTAGAGTGTATTTTTATTTCTGCGTGTCTCCACAGGTTAACTTTCACTCGGGCCTCTACGCAGACTGTTGACTGGGAGGAGCCCGAGGGTCCAAACTACACCGAGCTGCTCCGGTTCTGACCGTCCTGGCTCTTTTAAACCGCTAAGAAGCTCCTAGTCCAATTAGCCTCGCGGAAGTAGGGAAAAACGCGCGTGTCGGCCCAGTTCGATTTAACTCGCGGGTTCGAACGGGGAACATGAGCGCCCGCCATCATCAGCACACGGCCTGAACCGCAGCACCTCACTGTCAGGAACATGGTGGAGCGCTCTGAGCGCTAGCTGACAGACGCAGTTTTTGTCTCGCGCGCACCGTAAACACCCCCCCCCCCCCCCCCTTTTTTTTTTTTTTTTTTAGGCTCGCGCAGCAGAGAGAGCTGCCGCCGTTGGCCTGTCTGCACGCGCGTCATCTGGCGACGCCACACGGAGTTTCCTCGCGCGGACTGTTGTGTGAAACTTAAGATGGAAACGTTCACAGACGTGCTGCTGGTCACCGCGAACGTCGGCTCGCTCTTTGACAACGTAAGTAGACCGGTTCAAACTGCGGTGATAAGTCCGGAACACCGCGGTGCTGCCGGGAGATCCGGCTCGGGGAGACAGGAGGTGCAGCGGGTTGGAGGTTCCGTGATGTTTACCTTAAAACTGTTTCTTGCTAGCATACAGTCTGACCACACAACAAGCGCTAAGTTGTTCTCAGTCGTTTATAATCTGTAATTTACGATTGTTTTAAATACGTTTTTGACGTCTAGTGCGTCGTAGGGTCGACCTCATTTGTCAGCGGTAAATTGCCCGCACTCTGCAGTGTTCTTCCGCTATCCGTGAATTTAAAAAAGTACTGGCTGAGCCATTGTTACCTGTTCGCGAGTCACGTGACCCGCGTCACCTAAAGCCTGGTTCATGTCACTTTTCCAGATATGCAGAGATAATTTCACAAATGGCTTCAACTTTTAGTTGAACAAATAAAATTGTGTTTTAAAATTAGCAAAGTCCTGACAGGAGAGGCTTCCTGGAAAAAACACAAGTTATTTAATTTAATAAGTATCTTATAACACCAGACCTCAAATCAGCTGATATTGTCCTGAAGTTGTTTATTTCAGTCAATGATGACTTTTTGTTTTGTTTACATTTCATTTAACATCCATGCCTTTACTCTGGTTCTCCTGATTCTCTAATAATTTGGTTCTCAAGCCTTTTTTTTTTAGCTTTTAAACCACAAAATTATAAGGCTTTGATAAAAAAAAACATACAATCAGGTCAGTTAAACATTGACATATCCTACAGTTATGGTAATTGTTTTGACTGTATCATATCTCTCATAAAATCAAAATGAACCAGCAGTCTTTTATAATTTTATACTGTTTCTCAAGACCACAAACCTGGAGTTTTCTGGTCCATCATGGGGTCCCAACACTTAACTTTGGGAATGCTAGCTCAAACGATTTGTGTTGCTTAGTTTCTCAAGTTTATAATATATTGGCTTATTTCTACGCTGCGTAAGACATTTAATATCAAGTCCAAAATGTTTGCACCTTCCCAAAACTTAAAGTAATATTTCATCTGTGCAGAAATAGAGGCGTTATATAACTTGTATAAATATCCATTACTTTCTTTTGTTTTGGCTCCAGCCGGCCCTTCAACTTTGCATGGAGGAGCCTCTTTACAGTCATGGAAATTTAGCTCGGGACCATATTTCCTTTTAGCGGAGTTGGTTAAGATCCCACTGTGGGAAACATGCGAACAGATGAATATCTCACCCCGCCCCCCCTCCTCCACCAGGGGAGTTAAGCTTTTCTCCTTCCTTAGGCCCCTCTATTCCCATAAACAAACACTCCTGAGCGTTCACAGAGGATAAGAGCGGGAACTTAAGCACATCTCAGAATAAATCCTGTCACTGTACAACACTGGCCTGACTGCAGGGCTCATTAGAGCAGCTGAAGTAAAAACACCTACTTCAGTTCTATTCTGGACCATACGTTCTCTTGATATTGTCATTTTGAGCTTGTGCATGACGATGCTTGTACAAAGCTTTATTTAAAGGTCTATGAAATGTATACTTGGATGCATTATTATCACACAAACATTGTAATTTAAAATGCCAGCATAGTCAAATTTACTATTAGAAGCTCTTTTGTTCTATAAGCTCAAACTAAAAAAACTTTGTTTTACTCCGTGCATATTTTTGACTTATTCTTTCTCCATTGTGTAATTATTGTGTACTCCTGACCTATAAGTGCCTAAATGGCCTCGCACCCATCTATCTCTCAGAGCTACTGGAACCATATGTTCCCTCTCGGGCTCTGAGATCATCCGATCAGCTGCTTTTGGTTGTTCCAAAAACACGACTGAAGCTCCGAGGAGATCGGGCGTTTTCAGTCATGGGTCCCAAACTGTGGAACAACCAACCCCCCAACATTAGGCATGCCACCTCCCTTCCCGTGTTCAAATCCCTGCTAAAAACATATCTGTTCTCTCTGGCGTTTCATACTGTGTGAGTTGATTTAGTATATCTTGTTCCATGTCTTCATTTTAATGCTGTTGTTTTAATTTTTTAAGGTATATTCTTACTGCTTTTTATTTATTAGTGTTACCCTTAGTGTTAAGCACTTTGATAACAGTCTATCTGTTTTAAATTGTGCTCTATAAATAAATATGACTTGACTTGACTTATGTAACATATTTGCCTTAAATTAGATAAACAGAATCACACCTCCAGTGTCACGGTTGAACGAAAAACACAAACCACCAATTGTTTTATTTAGGGTTTGATGTCAGATGTGTTCTTGTACTAGTTTATTCAGTGCTCAGACTTGATTGTGGTTGTATCCAAAACACTGGGGGAGATTTCCTCCACATGCTAAAGGCTGAGATGCAGTCAACCCTGTCATGCAAAATACAGTATGCAAAGCCATTTCCTTGGTCACATGAATGTCTCACTGTTGTTTACTCTGCTACGACGTTGATTCTGGACACCTGTAGGAAATGACAGGTCCAAAGAAAAATCATTAGGTGTGGGTGGACTTGATTAAATGCACATCCTGGAACACAGAGCTCCTAAAGTACACAGAATCCTGTTTCCTGGCTGTTATTAGTGTACATTTAAAGTTTTCTGATTGTATATCCTGACTGTCGTGTAGCCTACTCCACTGTCCAGGTAGCTGTTATACATTTATAGTCAAAAACATTCATCTTTGTAACAGTTGTATTTCTTTTTGCTCTATACATTGTAGGATTGTCAGTGTGAAGTCATCACAAATAGCTTATTTTATGACAATGTGATGAGTTTTAACGCACAAACAAAATTAATATTCATTATTCAATTAATCGTTTAATTTGAAACAACAGCATAAAAAGATAGACTGTGATATTATGAACATTTTTATTTGGCTTTGTGATATTTTACCTGAACAAACCACAAGACTCCTGGAAACAATGTTCTTTAGGGCAGATGGGATCAAATACATGTTTGGTTATAACACAGGGACATATTTGGTGAAACAATCTATTAGCTCAAGATCTTCATATCTGCTGCTAAGCATGGTGGAGGAGGCTTGATAATTTGGGCTTGTTTTGCAAACATAGGACCTGGACAGCTTGCATTAAGTCAGCCATGAACTTTTAGAGTCAAACTTGACTCGGATCGCTTCATATTCATATATGAAAACAAGTATTTAAAGTGCTCATTGCAAGGCCAGTAGAAAGTATTGTGGCAGAATGTTGAGTGCTGTAACACACTTCAAACTGAGTGAACACTGAAGAAGATGGGGACAATAATTTCTGCAGAGTTCATAAAGAAGATGATTACTTCAAGTTACTTCTGCTAAGGATAGCTTTGCATGTTGAATCATCGGGTGTGTTTCGGCATTTAGACACTTTGTTTTGCGTGTCACACATAACGACACTGAATAATATATTGTGTGTTGTTGTTCAGATGACATTGTTTTGCCCAGTTTAAGAGTTATAGATGAAGTCTTGCAATAAAAAAGTATACTTTTCATCTGACTGTATCTTGTGTTATAGAGGGATAAAACATGACGATTTATGATAAACCACACACTTCTACATAGTAAAGCATAATATGTCCAGGGTTATTACTGGTAACAGAACATGGACTAGAAAGTGTGACCAATAGCTGAATGTTTAGTGACTAGCTGTCGTATTGGACCAATAAAATGTGTTTCCAGCACAAAAAAAGAGCAAACTTGTCTCCTGCAAATGTTATTTAAGTTGTGAGGAGGTTTTAAAGATTTGAAATCTTTTTGATTAGCCGAGTATAAACAATAACACAGATCCATGTCATGTAGCGACTCGTCAGGAGTTAAAACGTAGACCTGTAGGACAATTTAACTCGTTATCTTTGTTAATGGGACACTACGTTTGCCTTTGAACACACTGCAACAGTCAAACTGATCACGGATCTACACCTGATGGACTCGTGCAATGTCTGCATGTGAGCTACGTCTTTTATAACCTAAGTGATTGCAGGATGCACGCTATCTCATGAACCTGACCGACCTTATTTGGTTCTCATAAATACAAATTTTACACTTTTATAAAGTGTTACAAATGTTTGCGAAAATCTTTTATGCTGTTTGGCTTTGTGTGCTCCCACACTTGAGGCCAGCAGTGATTCTCTTCAGTGGAAAAAACAAATAGATGATTATATGTTAGAAAAAAAAAAAACCCATAAAACTTGTTTATATACTTTGGTTTCATGAATAGGACACCACTAAATCTGATTTAAGAACTTGTTTTTTTAAGTGTAGATGTTTACAAAGATTTACTCAATTACACAAAAAGTTATTTCTTGAATGAGATGAGCAGATGAGACAAGCATTAAAGTATGTAACTTTATGTATGTTTTGCCATTTCATAGGTGGGTGAAATTCAAAATGGGTGGTTACAAGAACTGTATAAGGTAAGTTTGATCATCTTGAATTTGTATTTGCTTGCTTTTAGCAGTTAGGCATTCTTTTCTTTTGTTGTGAACGGTGTTCAAGTAAGACAAATGAAAGATGTTTTCACTTTTCTTGTATGGTGTCCTCTTTTTTTTTCAAACATTCCAGTTTAGACAAGAGCTTCAGTTTCTTCATAAATTATACTTTGCACCATCTTGTAACACAAACGTCACAGAAATGAAAATATGAACCATCCTTTAGTGTTTAGACAGCAGTCTTTAACGCAGCGATAATCCTATCAGTGTTCTGAACTGTTAGTTACTGTGGGTGGTTAAACTCAGGATGTTTCCTTTGGAACAGACGATCCACAAATGCAAGCCTCAGTTCGTCGCCCTGCACTTCCAGGAGGTGGGAGGGAAGGACTACATGGTCAACATGAGCCAAGCTGAAAGCTTCTTCTGGTAGGCTTCAAATGCACACTCTTATCAACGTTTACTAAGCTCTTCTTATACAGGATTTATCTTTTTTTTAAAAATAAAATGGATGTATGCATCCACATTGCACTGCAACCCTCAGTGTGTAAATCTGATGAATCTTCTATAATGTTCCAGAAAAATATACTTGTCTAATTCAGCCAGCAACCACAGACACCTTCATGTGCGTCAGAGTACATTTTACTAAAAACGACTAAAGTTGTGGAGGATTTGCTTAACATTAAAAGGACCCACGCCCCTTTTAAAATTGAGAAAAGTTTCTTATTAAGGTTTAACACTGACTTTTGTCTCATGAAGTTCCTAATTGACATCTACTGAACATCCTGATTCAGTCATGTGACTAGTGAGGGACTCTGGGTACTGACATCATTTCCAAAGTCTTCGTGCATCTGGGCAGCTAATGTGACCACTAAGCTAATTTTAAAAACTTTATTTTCTTTTACCAAAGGTGAGTTTCCACTGTTTCATTGATGCTAATCCTTAGATAACATGTCATAGCTCACATATAACCTGGTTTGATAGCATTTCTAAAACAGTTTGATCACGAATAGGTTTGTCAAACACCGTTGTGATATATATATGTCACATCGGGCAGTAAACTCTAAATTGTATAAAAAAAATCCACGTGACTTATTTGACACAATAAGACTTGAAGAAGTACTTGTTAAACAAAACCAAGCAATGTTGTGATCTTCATGCCTGTTAAGAAGTTGCAAATAAAAATAAAATTCTGTGTTAAAAACAAAACAACTGTTTAGACAATTTATTTCCAAATGTGGAATAAATTTACTAAGTACGCCCAATGTGATACATATGTCACATTTCATGTGCCAGTAGGTGGAGGTATTAAAAAAAAAAAAAAAAAACCTTCAGAAATGTGTTGCATATAATCCATTTGTTATAATTTACAACCTCCATAATTTTCATGAAAGTAGAAATGGGTCTGGGCTCTTAAAACAAGAATACTGTTTCTCAACTAACAAATTGAAGTTTTTTTCCTCCTCTCTTCTGTGCACCGCTCCTCGCAGGAACATTGAGTCCAGTACGGAAATGAAGGACTTTGACAGAGTTTGCGTTTATGTTGACAACGAGTTCCAAGCAGAGGACAGCTTCACGGTAAGAAAAGTGCAAACCAAAAGCTTGGGAGGAATTCTGCTGTTCGTCCACCAGATGGCGCCCTCCTCCACATAAATGTCACCACAGCAGTGGCTGAAGGCTCTCCGATGCAGCTGTTGCTAAACTGCATAATGTTAAATAGTCACGCACTAAATTTAAAAACAAATGTCTTTACACCTCAGTGACTAACTGTATTTTGTTTACGCCAAAGTTTGTAGTTTCACCCCCTTTTTAATACGTCTTTAAAACTTCACTGGATGATTCAATCAGAAAGATCGATGTTCATTCCTACTGTTCCACAGCTACAAAGGACGTGTTGTAGTTGTGTTTTTTTAATGGAGTCAGCTTACTTGAGCTTCATACGTCAAGATGTGTGAGGTGTGTGCAAAAGCATAGCCTGATATAAGTAACATAGATCTCCTAGATGTAGTGTGGAGTAATGTTGGAGTTGTTTTACACAGTGTGAGCACAGATAGAAGATGTGTTTTAGAGGCAGGTAGCTGAAGTTGCGCCTGCTATGTGCTGTTGAATACTATGTTTAAAGGTGCAGCGTGATTTACTGTGTTTACAGCTTTTTAACAACTCTCTGAAGGCACTTTAATGAGTTGATGTTTAGGGCGCAGGCTCAATCACCTCATACGAGGATATTGTTTTATACTTTGAATTTATTCATTTACCCTGTGTTCTTGAGCTGTGTGCCATGTCCCCATAATGAGAGTGTCGGTCTTCGTTTGTCTGAAACTCAGTCCCCGTTGGGAGAGTCACCTCTCCAGAGCCAAAGGGTGGCTGAGTATTTCTTAAAGCATTAACCCTTCCTCCTCCCAGGTGAAGCCCTTACTCCTCGCCTGACAGTAGGGGTCATTGCCTGCATCTGTAGACAGAAGGTGCGTGAAGTGAAAGGGGGTGGGGGGTGGGGGTGGGGGGGAGTCAGTGCAGGTGTGAGAAACACGAGCCAAAGTCAATACATTTAACTCTAGATTAAAACTATTGATCCGGGCTTATTTGTACACGATAAATTAAGTGTGTCGTGGGGTGGAAGACAGCTGGGACTAAGTTTTCCCTGCACTCGAGTGTTTGCACCCTTCTCTGTTTTCCCTGAGAGGGTTCCTGGACCCCCCCACACCCCCTACTCCACCACCACCCCACATAATGCCTCATTCTCATTTCGGTTGTGCCACCTGCATTGATTTTCAATTTGTTTCCCCTTGGCTGCAGATCATCAGTTATAAAGCCAAGAGAGAGTTAGGGGGGTTGAGTGTGTGTGTGTGTATGTGGGGGGGTCTCCTTTCACAGGGGCTGCAGGAGTAGAGGTGGCAGACTTGCATGAATTCCCAGTACAAATGGTGTTTTGATAAAAAATCACTTCAAAGTCAATATTTTTTTATTAAACTGTGCACAAACCTGATTGATGAAGATTGGTGTTTGGCAGAGTATGTGAAGGAGTGTGTGAGTGTGTGTGTGTGTGTGTGTGTGTGTGTGTGTGTGTGTGTGTGTGTG